GCCAGCCTTCAGCCAGCATTCTGACATGATGCTGGCTGAATGTTTCATTTCCCCTGGAAATGAAGATAACATCCTTAATCAACTTACATGTAATTAAATTAAATTGTGGAGAATACGCATCCTCTAGCTTCTCCTCAGAAGCTGGTTGCTTAGGTCTGAGCACTGGAGTGAGGAAAAATAAAAAATAAAAAATTGTTCTCAATGGACCAGTAATCGCTACAGAGTTTTAGTACCTTCCACCCCTGGGTCAACCTCTCAGGCAGTAAGAGCGCAGGCCGGTTCGTGCAGCCGACAGGCACGACGTTAAGCCTTAGTGGGCTCCTCCATCAGCCCACCTTGCTCGCCAGGTTCTGTGACAGTGACAGGGACCCCCAACCCATGGGATAACCAAACCAGCCTTGTCACTTGGCCCAGATGTAGGAAGTGAACTGGTTGGCTGATTTGTTTTTTTGCTTGCTCATTAGGACTAGTGAACAGGTGAGAACTCATGTAAGTCTTTGACTAAAAACAGAGCTCGTGCTATTGCTGAAACCGAAAAATCAGCTTATAAAGCTTCCCCTTGTTTTTGTGGGCAAATCACCACCCATTTGGGGGTCTGGTCGTAAGCAACACTGTGCTGTACAGCGATGATGCTAATCTCCACCAGCTGAGCCTGCAAAGCTCCTTCCTTAACTCCTCCCTTAGAAAAAGCAAGACTTGAAAAAACAAGTGTAGTCAACTCCAGAATGGCTTCCTCAGTTTAGTAACATTCTTTAAAAAATTCTTTGTTTTCATCTCAGCTAAGAAAGTAATTCTAAATTGATGCTTTTACAATTCAGTGTTTTCAAACACTCCCTGTGATCTCAGAGATCTGAAACTGTTATGCCTCAAGAAAGCTTTGCTTCCAGAAGACCAAACTTTCTGCTACTTCCAAGAATTAGCAATCCACAAGATGTCCCCAGTGCTCAAAACAGAGCCACTTAAATTCACTAGACTCATTAGGAATGGCTAGAGCATCTTGTTGGCACTCCTTCATTGCATCAATGTTAAATTTAATTAAAAGATATTAAAACAACTTTCTCACATTTTCCCTTGCTAAGTGGGGACTGTACGTCCTCACAGAAGGGGAAGAATCTAAGTAAATCGTCTAGAACACAGAAAAGGCCTCTACAAAATAGCTGGTTGGGACCTGACAGTCACCCATCTCTTGCTCACTCTTGCTTTTAGGGAGTGCAAGGACAGTAACCTTTCTTGATGCTTCCTTCTTTCTAAGTCTTACCACCTCTTAATTTAGCACAATTTTAGCTTTTTTGGATTTTAACAAAAATGATAACTCAGTAATTTTGCCTATGGTATCTTTGTATATTAAGAATACTTTTATCCTTGGTTGCCCTATTAAATAAGGACTGACCAGATGGAAAATTATCCTATCACTATCTTTCTCTCTTGGGCAGGTTACATCTAATTAAAAGCAGTTCTCTCCTTTCACTCCTACTGCACTCTATACATATCATCCAGATGTCAGCACTGGCAATTTCGGTAAAAGCTCACAAGATTTGGATAAAACTTGCTGTTGTTTTGTGTTTTCTCCCGCGGGGAGGCAGGGAGCCAAAGTTCCAACTGAGCAAAATAAAATTAAAAGTAGATCAGTTTTTTCTGTCTCAGTAGCATGTGATATGGTATATAATATACATTCCCTGCTTCACAAAGGAAATGAAAGAATGAACTTATACAACTGAAGAAATAAAGATATCAAAGTATTACTTGCCCCAGCTGGTATGTGCACTTCACATATAATTACTATTTAATATCTTTGCTTCCTACAAACCAGGAAAAAAGCTTACCCTCTCTCCCAATTCCCTCTTCTTGTAAATAAGCTGATGCAGAATCTTCTAGATTTGCAGTTTCTACTTGGCTTTCTTCTTGAATTTATTTTCTTCTTTCCAAAGTAATGGGGTCTAAAAAATGAAGCTATTTAAAATCCTAAATGAATAAGTGTTATAAAAATAATAAATTAGTATACAAGACTGACTTGCACAAAACATATGTTATACTCTGAAATATATTTAGGCGGGAGCGCATAATTGCCTGTTTCTTTTCTAATGGCCTGAAGCAGAGTGCTAAATCTGAACTTTTCCCAAAGTCTATGCAGGGATGGAGCACAGCCCTCTCCCTGGTTCCCAACTGAGTTCGGGTCCTCACCACCTTCCACATGCTGTCTGCAGGAATGACAATCAGCTGCTGGGAAAGATGGAAGAGCG